ACTCGGTCATGGCGGCGGTAAGGGTCGTAGGAGGTTGTGCTGATGTGGCTTGCGGTGTCTGGTGGGCGCGTATGCGGTTCGTGCAGCTCGTCAACGGTATCGACTTTGTCTCGAGGATAGGATCTGAGGCCTCGTCGTCGGATTCTTCGTCATCGTCCTCTTCATCCTCCTTCTCCATCCGCGACAGGCTGCTCATCTTCATGACCATAATCTGGTTCTCCTTGTCCCTTCCTCGCGCTGCTTGTGTGCCGGCCACTGAGTAGACGGTTGCAGGGTATGTTTTGCGGTCTGCGCCTAGATTGTCGGGTACGATGTCGCATGAGAGACAGGGCCACGGCGCTTCGAGCGCGTGAAGCATCTCATATGTGGAAAGATCGGGGTTCAATGTCTCGCCTGGTGAGAGTTTGTGTCGACCGGGAATGAAAGTATCTTGGTCGACATCCATGCCATCTGGAGGCGTTAGTTTTTGGATTTTCGACATTTTCCTCCGGCAACCTACTCTCGCGCTCCTCAGCTTCGCGCTCTTCGTCTGGTCGTCCGTCTACACCTGCCTCGAGAATCTCATCCTCGCTCTCGAATTCATCTTCGAATTCATCCTCAAACTCGCCCGCTTCGTTGTGTTGATCGATTTCCATGGGGCGATCTCCATTTTTAATAGCCTCCTGCTCTTGCTCTGAATCTGCGGGTCGCTTCGCCATGGTGTGTGAGTGTGTGCGGTCGTGTTTGGGGGTGTCTTGTGGCAGGCGTAAAAAAGTTGGCGGTGGAATTTGTCCCGCCAAATGTTTTTTGAGGCGGCTTATCGATCGGCGTATCGGACCACGCTATGACGCCCCCCTCTCTCAGGTGCCCACCGGGGCTGTTGCGTGCATCTCTGGAGCGAAACACTGCGCGCTACCCCCAGTCCAATCGCATCCCGCACATCCCAGGTCAACACCACAGAGGCCGCGCCCATATACCGTGTCTCCCCCTTAAAGTCGCATAGAATTGTCCGAGGAGCAGAGTCGCCAAGGAAGAAGAAAACACATTGTCAGCTTGCATTCACCGTCTTGACGCGTGCCAGCGCGCTTTCAGCTCAGATCAACAACCGCGGGGACGCTGAGACATACTAGCCATGGAGCCAGAATACTCGAGTCAGGAACCCGCGCAGCAGCCCTACGTAGCTGCCACAGAAGTGCAGCACGTACACCAAGTGCAGCCTGAGCAGCTGCCGCCCCAACAACTGCAACCCGAGCCAATGCAGCCCGAGCAGGTGCCTCTCGAAGCGGAACAGGAAGCGCAGAAGCACATGGACCAGACCATGGACGTCGCCGACGACAGCATGAGTTCGACTATCACCGCCTCGACTGTCACACCGCTACCAGACCTCACCCAGAACGCGAGCCTTAATAACAGTCCCAACCCCTACGAGCAGCCTCACCGACCCTCGACATCCTACTCAGACACCGCGTACCAGTACACAACACACAACGGCACGCGCTTCAACACATCATCAGACGCCGACACACCTCCACGGCACGGCTACTACGATGCCAACAAGGAAACACACATGGGCCAGTCGCATTCGCGGCCCAGCTCGCAGATGGGACGCTATCCGACTTCGGAGGGCAACACGCGGTCAAACTCATATCAAGACCAACGAGGGAGCGCCCAACAGCAACAACAGGAGGCCGCCAAAAATGCCAGCGTCGTCATCAAGGTCGGCATGGTCGGAGACGCGCAGATCGGAAAGACTAGTCTAATGGTCAAATACGTTGAGGGCAGCTGGGACGAGGACTACATCCAAACGCTCGGTGGGTTACACAAGCACGTTTCACAAACTGCAGATTCTGACAACCACAGGCGTCAACTTCATGGAAAAGACCATTTCGATCCGGAACACAGAGATCACCTTCTCCATTTGGGATTTGGGTGGTCAACGTGAATTCGTGAACATGTTGCCGTTGGTCTGTAACGATGCTGTTGCCATACTCTTTATGTTCGACTTGACGCGAAAAAGCACATTGAATTCCATCAAGGAGTGGTACAGACAGGGACGCGGTTTCAACAAGACTGCCATCCCGTTCTTGGTCGGCACAAAGTACGACCACTTTGTCAACTTCCCGCGCGAGGAGCAGGAGGAGATATCTAATCAAGTATGAGTCCCTGCCAAAGACAAATCCAGAGCCGCAGGACTAACATCAACTAGGCTAAGCGATTTGCGCGAGCGATGAAGGCCAGTCTAATATTCAGCTCAACCAGCCATAGCATCAACGTGCAGAAGGTGAGAGCTGTTCATCCCCATTGCTAAGCCCATGCTGACTCTGCTTCAGATCTTCAAGATCGTGCTATCCAAAGCCTTTGACCTGAAATGCACCATCCCCGAGATAGAAAATATTGGCGAACCCTTACTCCTCTACCAGGCCGTTTAGTCGCCGGCAGACCGTAGAGTCAGGCCCAGGACAGAGGGAACACGTATGAACCTGTCCGAGTGTCAGATTGGGCGCGTCTTCTACCGGAACGTTACCATGAGCGAATGATTTTCATGACTGTTTTGCGTGGGATTGCATGGCTCGGCGATTGGAGCAAGGTGCTAGATACATGGTTGGTCCAAAACCGGCGTTCTTCTGCTTGTATATGCGGAAGTGATTGTATGATTCGGGCAGCAAGGCCTCGGCCGGGGCACGGAGTCTAGCGCCAGGGACGCGCAAGACTTGTAGCTTTACAGCAAACATCCTAGTGTAATACCGACTTGTCAGAATCGACTGCATCTTATTAGGTTTGCGTGACTTCCAATCAACGCGCATGGCGGCAAGTTTAGGCGAATGACGTAAGCTTCCGCTGCTAAAAAGTTACGGATCCCAGCAAGCAACACCAATTAACCCAGCTCCAAAACCGCGTCCACAGAATTTGCCCCAGCACGAACGAGGTTACAATATCGAGAAACCGGGTCGCGAACCGATTAAAACACCGAATATCAAAAGCAACCTTTTGCCTTACCAGTAAGATCGTCGCGGAGGCTGAACAAGAACAACTTGTGGGACACAATCTTAGAAAGACAGCTTCAGCCCACCACCACAATGGCGCTTCCTTCAATAGCGCTCCCAGGGCAACTCCTCGGAAGTGTCGATAAATACAGCCCTGGCCCAGGAACACACATCCACGACTCGCAAATCTATGCCTCAATAGCTGGACCCGTTTTCTCTTCGCCATCACATCCCTCCACGCAAAGCGCATCATCCAAGTCCGGCAAACTCGCGCCGCTCCTCTCAATAACGCGTCCTCCCACCTCCACCGACCCCGGGATCCTCGGCCCCAACTCTGGCGGCGGCGTGCCCCTCCTCCCAACCGTCTCCAGCACAGTCCTCGTCCGCATAACGCGCCTCGGCCCACGCTTCGCAAGCTGCGAAATCCTCGTTATCGACAACGCCGTATGTCGCGAAGCCTTCCTCGCGCAGATCCGACGTGAAGATATCCGGGCTACAGAGAAGGACAAGATAAAGATTGAGGAGAGCTTCAGGGTGGGTGATCTGGTCAGAGGCACGGTCATCAGTCTGGGAGATAGCGGAAACTACTATGTCGCTACGGATCGCAACGAGTTTGGTGTTGTGCTGGCGAGGAGTGAAGAGGGGAGGGTTATGCATCCGGTTAGCTGGAAGGAGTTTAGGGATCCGGTCAGTGGGAAGGCGGAGGCGAGGAAGGCTGCTAAGCCGTTTTGATGGAAGTTGTGGAATACAGTGGACAAAATGAAGAGAGAGAAAAGTTACATTGCTGAACGAGGATGGCAATAGGCGATAAGATACCCATGATGTGGATTGAAGAATGAGATCAAGTACCTTTGGCACGCGAAGAAGACTTTAGCGAGCTACAGGAGGCATATATCTTTTGGAAAACGACACAAATTTTGTCCAAGAGCCCTGAAACTGGGTAACGATAGCCGCTATCAAATGCATGGGGCGCTCTTTTGCTTGCGCGAACTGCTCTATCCTCCCCATTTCCTCGGCCTCAGGCACAAAGCAACCTCTGCAACAGCATCATCAACGGAACAAGCCGCTGCACACCAAGATCTAGCTGAGACAACGAGGGGCCACGAGCTAAATATACCTCCTACTTTCCACCTTCTTCCAAACCCCCGGTGGCGAAAATAGCAACGAAGCAAAACCAAACACGGTCGCAGCGATGGATGTGACAATACTCTCGGTACCTGCATCGTGACGCGTATCATGTATGCAAGGCCGGGGAATCACACCCAACACGTAGTGTTCCATGACTCGAGGCAACACACGGGGCCAAGGGTATGTAGTAGCATGTGTAAGGTAACCCGAGAAGATGAGCTAAGTTTAGTGGCCAGGACTGCAGCCCTAGTGCTTCACACATGCATGTAGTAGAGCTGCACCACGAGAACGATTTAGAGTGAAGTTGAAATGAACAGCGAATAACACATCGTTTGCAATTGTGAGAAATAAAGTAGAATATACTACGATTGACGCTTTCGCTGTACGCGTCGAAGACGTTTTTAAATGAATCGGCCAGGTGTGCTCGCTGCACACAAATCCCCTATGATGTCGTCATGAAATAGCACAACGAGGTCGTCTCTGAAAATTCCCATCTGTATCCCACCGCACCGTCTTAATCCTTCTCCTTTTTCTTCCCTCAGATTTGCTTCAAAAACACCCAAAATCGCAGCCTTTCCCTAGGTGTGAATGTGAGTGGTACCAGGAACCGTAGATACGCCGAAACTCCGACCATGCTTGGGTCGACGCTGATCGCGTTGGATGAGCGCCTCTCGCTAATCATGCCACGCAAGATGCTGTAAGAATGACATCTTGTGTAATCCTTGATCGCAATTCTGGTGCTTGGAAAACACTCCCTCTACCGTGTATGCTGTGGTGATGTCGTTTACAACAGCGACGATCGTTCGACAGCAGTATTGAAGGAGGTCGTTCTCGACAATACCCATAGTCTTACAATGCTATCCTCTTCCAGACAGCAACGCCTCTTCTATTTGGTAGCGTTGTAGTCTTCTACAGAACGCCTCCTGGCAGGGGTGTCCCTCTATTTTGGTTACCCCACCCGAAGCTCTCTGTCTGCGGATTGACGGGCCGTACATCGTTTCCGCCCACAGTGCTGACATGGCCTTCTTGCGGTGCTGCATGCTTCCTAAGCATGAACATGGGTTTCCGGCCTTCCTTGTCAAGTTGTTTGAACAATATCAGCGGCCTCTCGTTGAGTCCAAGACAGCGCTCCTGATCACCGTGTACAATATACAGGGCATACTGGCGCCAATCTGCCGTAATGTTGTATTTCTTAAGCGCAACCGGAAGCACCTTGTGGCACGGATCGTCGATTGAGACTCGGAACGATTTGAAGATTTCAACTTGCGGGTTCGTAGATGGCGTGGATGCGGGATTGGATGCGGAGGTGTTCATTGAACTTGAGCCGCCAGAGAGTGGTGGGTCGCGATCGTCGGGGGTCGGTGTTGGTGCAGCGTTGTTTCGCATCTGTCGTGATGACAGTGGTGCGGGCGTAGCGCGGGGGTCGCGATTACGGTCGGATACAGCAGTTGTGTCTGAATTCCATGTGTTTTGACTCCACCCTGAGCTGCCGTCGTGATCGTGCCCGCTTCGGGGTATTTCGCGGTTGTACTGGCGGCCTTGGCCTTGTGTGTATGCGGGGGATGTCGGGGAGGGCTGGGCGATGGAGTTGGGCGACAGTTGCGGGCCACCACCGAGAGATGCTGTGAGGTGTGAGGAGGCTGCGACGGCTGCTGCGGAGGGGTCCAAAGAAGAATGATCGACAAGAGCGCGATGTTCTTGGATTGTTGGAGAGGGGTTCTTTGGCGCGGATCCAAGGAAAAGCTTCTTGGTAGAGAACTTACGCGAAAGACTGCTGCCACCAGATCTCTCTTGAGTTGCAGGTGGCGATGTGACGGAGTGCTCGTGGGGCGTAGGCAGGGGTTGGTTGTCCTTGAGCATGCGCACGAGTGGCAGGATCTCCTCTCGTAGCCGCTTGTTCTCGTCCATGACCCTGCTGAGGTCCTCTCTGAGATGTCGCAGCTCCGATTCGGCCGTGTGTATGCGCTCGTCGCGCGCCTGGACTACGCGAATGACCTTGGCGAAGTCGTCTTGGGTTGGCGGCGCTTCCTGTGCCGACGTATCCGCGGCTGAAGTGGTGGTTAGACGTGCAATGCCATGGCAAAGGCAATGGACTCACATAGCGGGACGTAGTCGTCGGGGTCCATGGGCACATTCTGCCGCACCTTGATCTCGTAGACGGCCTTGAGGATTGTGAGGCGGTGGCCTACGCTGCCGACGCCCAGCTCCTTCAGCTCGGCATGCTGGAGGGCGGCGAGCACGTCGCCGGTGATGCCCTCGTCTACAAACAATGGGTTAGCAAACAATGCTAATGGTGCGCGCGGTGCGACGTACTAGCAAAGGTATCCGAGTACTGCTCCAGGCCCAGGTCGGCGATGAAGTCGGCCGTCTGGTCCTCGTTCCACTCCATTATGTGCCCCGTCGGGCTGCTCTTGCTGTCGCGCGAATGGGTGAAGGTGGTGGGCGTGTGTTCAGTGCTCAGCGGGCCGGAGCTCGTGGGGGAGCTCTCGTACTCGGCGGGTAGGGTCGGGCTAGAGATGCCCTGGCGCTCAAACTCGTCATCGGCGTCCGAGTCCTCATGGTACTTGGTCGTGTAGGCCATGGTGGGCGTGACGTCGACGGCCTCGTCGGGAGTCGCAGGGTTGGCAGAGGGCGGAGGGATGTGATGCTGCCAAGCCCTCGCAGCAAGCTCGTCGAGGGGACGACGTCTGTGTTATCGATGGCGATGTCGCGCAGGCCGGGCGGTCCAGTGTCGTCGATAGGGCACCCTGTCTGAGACGAAGCGAGATTGAGCCGGCGTGTTTCGTCTCCAGCGGGAGCAGGTCGGGCTATCCTGGGCGCAGTCTCAGATACACTGCTAGCCGTGGCACGCAAGAGTGCAGGGCGGGGAGGGTGAAGGTCTTCGCAGGCGGCCAGGCGTGCCGGTCCCTAAGCGCTTTGTCGTCGACGCCTGATGGGGAAGCGCGTATCCTCGGGGGCTGCGATGGTCCCTGCAGTCGCCCTATGCCTTTGCCTGAGGTAGAAAGAAGGCGGCCAGGATGACTATGGAGAGCAGCGAGACGACGAGGCAGTGCACAGCAGGAGGAGGAGCGCTCTGCTCACGACGCCTTAGTAGACTGGCTCGCCTGCTTCTGGATGCCAATACCAATACCGTCGACAGGCGGCTAGCAGGGCCACCCAAGCCAAAGCGGGATAGAGCCCTCTGGGTCCGAGCTTCCCATACCAGCTGGGAGCCAATATTGCGATAAAGGATGCAGGTACCAAACACTCAGCGCTCACCACCGCCTGCCCATCCACGTCGGGCGGCTTTGCACATGAACCCTCTTGCTTCAGGCTCCTAGCCGCCCCCTCTCGCGGCGCCGCTCCCGGCATCTCCCCCCCTCTCCCCCCATCGCCCACGCTGCACCTGCTCGCTTTCGGATCCGGCAAGTGCAATCTTGCAAGTTATCGTTCGCATCACGAGCCCGCAACGGCACCCGGTAAACCACGCACATGCGTCTAACGATCTTCACCGCCAACGTTGAACTAGGGCCATCTCTGCCGGCATCTGCCCGAATACGGCTACCCCGGCCAGTCGTTTAAGACGCTGCATCCCATATTACGACATCTGGCTACCTCCGAGCTTCAGAGCACAATCCCACGTGCGCCCAGCTCCCCGTCGTCTACGCGAACAGGATCACCCACTACTTCGCTATAAGGTAGCTCGCCCGGTATTGACAACTTTAGACGAACCTCCTCCTTTTTTCCTTTTGCACCCCAATCTCACACCTGACGACTCACGAGCTCGGAACAATGTCTCAATCCATCAATGTAACTACGACTCAGGCCCAGTCCGGCATCTCCCAAGACCTGCGGAACAACATCTACTCGGCCCTTCTTTCTGGCGATGGCATCCGCAATATTGAATCCACCCTAGACGAATCCCTGCGGGCCTCTGGGTTCAAAGACGATCTAAGAGCCTACATTACCGATCTGTTCCGCTCGGGCCAGGCTACTACCTGCGAGGAAGCCCGGAATCTGGCGATGCAGAAGATCAGAGAGCAAACACGTGGTTTGGAGGATCAGTCCAATGGCGTAAACGGCACCAACGGAACGACGAACGGGGATGGAGAAAATGGAGAGGAAGTCAACTTGAAGATTCCCAAATCCGCAATCGACGCCGGTGCAAAGACAGTTATGAAGGAGTTGGAGAAGGTGTGCGACATCACATACGAAGACGACAAGTGATCGCCCCTCCTGCAATCTGAGAAAGAGTCCATATTCCATGACACAGCAAAATGCAGGCTCGTGTCGCCCGAGTCAGTGTAGTTGAAGGGGAAGTCTTCAAAGCAAGGACCTTAACGAACCATACTATCGAGCGCACAGCCGACACCGTTGCAATGTGGGGCGGGCGACATCGTTCAACGGCACCGATGGGTTCCGGCCGCTGTCTCGGGTGATCAGAGACCTCGCCTGTGCCCATGAAACCTTGCCTCATGACCGCTGCACTAAGTGAACAGCGTTGAATCAACCATGTTGGAGGCTCGGCCGTTCGTTGAGTATGGATGGATTGGTGTAAAAAGTGCACGGTGATGGAAAAGGGAGTCAGGTTAGATATTGTAATACGCTCAATACAAGGATATGATAGGCGCAGCAAAATTCATTGATAACATGCATTCTCATTGAGGCCATTGGTTCGTGAAAGATACTACTGATATCCTGTCAAAGCGCTAGCAATTACGCACGCCTCCATCTATCTATGAGACGTCAATCGCCCCTCATGCCGTGTGATGATGAAAAAGGGAAACCCATCCGTCATGATCCTGCAACTGTCTAGTTGTACAGATCCTCGTCCTCACCACCAGCGCCGAAAGTGTTCTGCTCACCGCCACCCGCTGCGTTCTCAGCGTCGGGGAAGCGGAAGAAGCTTGATCCACCAGAGTTCTTCATTGACTGTGCAAAGGCCTCGTACCGGCGGATCTCAACATCAGTGACGGAGCGACGAGCGGAGCGCATGGCCTCCTCGAAGTGAGCCTTGGTCAGCACAGGTACTGGGTCCTCCTCGTCTACCTCCATGTCGACATCCTCACCAGCAGCCTCGCGAGCCTTGCGGCGCTCGATGTCAATCGCAATAGACTGCTTGATGGCGAGCTTGACCGCACGCTGGGTGACGAATCCAAGATCGGCACCGGAGAATCCGTGGGTGTTCTGGGCGATGAAGTCGATGTTGACATCCTCGGCGACAGGGGTCTTGCGAAGCTGAGCCTTGATGATGCTGGCACGCGACGCCAGATCGGGCAGAGGAACGTAGACGAGAGTGTCAAGACGACCAGGACGGCACAGAGCATTGTCGAGCTGTTCCGGTCGGTTGGTGGCACCGATGACGAAGACGTTCTTCTTCGATGTCATACCGTCCATCTCGGTAAGGAGCTGGTTGACGACACGGTCAGATGCACCACCGGCATCGCCTTGAGATCCACCACGCGACTTGGCGATAGAGTCCAACTCGTCCAGGAAGACGACGCAAGGTGCGGCGGCACGCGCCTTGTCGAAGATGTCACGGATGTTGCTCTCAGACTCACCGAACCACATGGAGAGCAGCTCGGGACCCTTGATGGAGATGAAGTTGGCCGCGCACTCGTTGGCAACAGCCTTGGCAAGAAGCGTCTTACCAGTACCAGGAGGACCGTAGAACAGTACACCTCGCGATGGAGACATACCGAACTTGAGGAACTTGTCGGGGTGGTCGACTGGGTACTGTACGGACTCGATGAGCTCGCGCTTGACTTCCTCCAGACCACCAATGTCCTCCCACCGGACGTTGGGAACTTCGACAACGGCGACCTCACGAAGGGCTGACGGGTTGGATACACCAAGAGCGAAACGGAAGTTCTCCATGGTCACGCCCAATGAGTCCAGAACCTCGGCGTCAATGGTGTCCTCGTCAAGATCGATGAGGTCCATCTTCTCACGAATCTGCTGCATGGCAGCCTCAGAGCAAAGCGAAGCCAAATCAGAACCAACGTAACCGTGAGTCTCAGCAGCGATAGTTTGTAGGTCGACATCGTCACCGAGCTTCATGTTCTTGGTGTGGATCTGCATGATCTCGAGACGGCCGGTTGGGTCGGGAATACCGATATCGACTTCACGGTCGAAACGTCCGAAACGGCGGAGGGCGGGGTCGATGGAGTTGGGTCGGTTGGTGGCGGCCATAACAACAACGTTGGAGCGAGCCTTCATGCCGTCCATGAGGGTGAGCAGTTGCGAGACGACACGGCGCTCGACTTCACCGTTGGTCTTCTCACGCTTGGGCGCGATGGAGTCGATTTCATCAATGAAGATGATCGCGGGGGAGTTCTTCTCGGCCTCCTCGAACGCCTTGCGCAGATTTGACTCTGACTCTCCAGCCATCTTGGACATGATCTCGGGACCGTTGATCAGGAAGAAGAAAGCACCGGTCTCATTGGCGACGGCACGAGCCATCAGTGTCTTACCGGTACCGGGAGGACCGTACATCAGGATACCACGCGGAGGCTTGATACCGATGGACTTGAAGAGCTGAGGATGCCTCAGTGGCAACTCGACCAACTCTCGGATCTGCGCCATCTGCTTTCGGCAGCCACCAATGTCGTCGTAGCCAACCTCGTTGAGGTTACCCTCCTCGTCCTCGCGCTGGATGGGCTCGCCCTCGCAGTGGATGACCGTATCTTGTGCGACGATACCGAACTCTGGTGGGTCGACCTCGACGACCTTGAACTCCACTTGTCGCATACCGCCGCGGGCTGTGAATGTGTCGCCTTGACGAACCGGTCGGTAGGCTTCGCGGAAGTATGGGGCGAGGAAAACGTCGAACAGCGAACCGGTGATACCCTCGACAGTGTCGGCGATGGGAAGGACTGCAATGCGCTTGGCCTGCAATGGAGTTAGCTTTGAATCAGCATTTCAAAGATGTAGCTACATACGTATTTGATGTCAGGGCACGGGTGGATGGTGATAACATCACCGTGCTTGACACGCAGGTTGTGGCGGACGACACGGTTTATCCGCGCAGAGCCATCGTCGAGGTCGTCGTCGGCGAGCACGATAAGAACGGTGTCCTTCCGCTTCTTGCCCTTGACGAGGACTGTGTCACCACGGAAGAGCTGGAGCGTCTCCATGGTGTTGTTTGAGAGGGCGATAATCGAGTTGTCATCGTTGACGGCGTCGGTGACACTGCGGAGTCAGTATGGCTTCTTTGTGTCGCTTCGTGGCGTACTTACATCAGCGAGTTTGGCTTCTTCTTCTTCTTGAGGATGGCAGTTGCGGTCTCGTCGTTCTGTGGCGGATCAGTAAAGGCGGTCTCAGATGGGTGTTTGGCAGTGCCTACATCCTTGGGCTCAGCGCCATCGGGGTTCCTGGAGTCTTGTTAGTCGCGGTTGCAGAGATGCGGCTGGTGGCAATGCACGTACTTGGAAAGATCCACCTTCGGCTTGGAGTGGTCTGGTTCAGCGGACATCTTGCTGATGTGTCTCTATGGAATGCTGCGACTGTACTTTTCCGGTGCAAAGAGGGACGCCGGGATTTGCAGCGCGGTGTAATGGGTTGTGGGTGGGGTGGGGGGTAAGATGGAGGTGATGGGTCTTT